GCTATTGACCAATTTTTATTTGTTGGATCTATGACATAGAAAATTTATTTAGCTTGGCCTGCCATAATAAATGGCTCATCTCTAAAAGTTAGTTTTTTAAGATCAACTATTATAAATCCAAACTTATTATCACGAATACTATTGACGTCAACCCACTTGCATTTGAAAAAAGAACTCTAAATTTTGTATAATCAACCTCCCAAATCTCTTCAATAACCCCAAAGTAAGTCCTGGATGCTAGTTTAGGTTTCTTATCTTTTAAACTAGAGAAGTGTACAGCTTCAGCCATTATCATAACTCCACTATTTTGCACCGTACTCTTCTCATCCAAGGACTTTGTATAAAAGGAATAACCATAAATATCATAGGCACTCCAACATATAACATTATAGTTAGGACCTCCATCCAATCATTTAATTATTTCAGAAACACCACTTTCATTCAAAATTTTCTGCTTGAACTAATCCACAAAAGTCTTATTATGCTCTTTCAACAACTTTTATTTGTCATTCTCATTCGATAATGTTTTGCCTTTAGAAGTTCTTTATGAGAAGATATGTAATCTTTAACTTCATTAATATTATTCAAGATATATAAATGTACTTCTTGTAATTCATCATGATTCATGCTCTTCACTGACACTCCACGTGTGCCTTGACCATATTGCCTTTTCTCATGACGAGATCTAAGAAGTCCAATTGATTCTGTACTTGACAAGTAATGAGAACAAAACTCCATAGCTTCTTCAATAATATATTTCTCAACTATCGATGCTTCAGGTCGATATGGATTTTTGAAATACCCTTTCAGTATTATCATGTATCTCTCAACTAGGTACATCCATTGCAAATAAATAGGACCACACAATTTTACCTCCCTGACTAGATGCACTATTAAGTGAACCATAATGTCAAAAAATGTAGGAAGAAAGTGCATCTCAAGTTGGCACAAGATAGTACAAGTTTCTTATTCTAACTCTTCTCGTTTATGGGGATCAATAACTTTACTGCATATAGTATTGAAAAAGAAACAAAGTCTAGTTATTGTAAGTCTTAAATCTTCTTTTAATATGCCTCGAATAGCCAAAGGTAATAGTTGTTGCATCAAGACATAGCAATCATGAGATTTTAAGCCTATCAGTTTCAACTCTTTCACAGATACAAGCTTCATAATATTTGAAGAATACCTTGAAGGAACTTTGATTCCATGTAAACACTCACAAAAGCTTGTTTTCTCATATTTGCACAATGTATGAGAGGCTGGGGGACAATAAGTTCGTTTACGTTTTGGTCTTGGGTATAAGTCTTCCCGTATTCCTATTTCTTTTAAATCCAATATTGCATTCACACCATCATTAGTCTTACCTGGTATATTTAGAAACATTCCAATAATACTATCGCACACATTTTTCTCCACGTGCATAACATCAATACAATGCCTTACTTCAAGATTGCGCTAATATGGGAGGTCAAAAAAGATAGACCTTTTTTTCATATGCTTTTTGCACCAGTATTCTTTTTAGTCTTACCGAAGACAATATTAATGTTTTTCACATGTTCATGCACTTGATCCCCAATCAAAGCATTCGGAGCATCATTGTGTTCTTGGTGATCATGAAAAGCTTTTTTCGATCTATGATATGGGTGATCTTGTCTAAGAAACCTCTGATGGCCAAGGTAGACTGTCTTCCTTCTATGTTGAAGTTGATGATAGTTTGTGCTTTCTTCACAAATTGGACAAGCTTTAAGACCTTTCACGCTATAATCAGATAAATTTTCATATGCAGGAAAATCATTTATAGTGTAAAAGATCATAACATGTAACTTAAAATTCTCCTTCTGATTTGCATCAAATACTTCCACATTGACCTCCCACAACACTTTCAAATCTTCAATTAGAGGTCTTAGGTAAATATCAATATCATTTCCAGGTTGTTTTGGTCCCGAAATTAACATGAATAGCATCATGTACTTCCGTTTCATGCACAACCTAGGTGATAGATTGTAAATCACCAAAAAAACAGGCTATGAACTATGTATACTACTATGACTATCATAAGGATTCATTCCATCGGTAGAAAGTCTGAGCCTCAAGTTCCTTGGTTCATTACCAAATTCGAGAAATAAGTGATCAATTTTCTTTCATTGAGGAGAATCGTCTGGATGTCGAAGTTTTCCATCAAATATCCTCTTATTTGCATGCCATATCAAGTTCTTTGCATCATTAGTATTTGCAAACAAACGCTTGAACCTTGGTATAATTGAAAGATACCATAAGACCTTTATATGAGCCACTTTCTCTTTGTACCGTGGTGCCTCACATTTTGGACACTTCTCCTCCCCTTCAAGCTCTTTTCTATACAATACATAATCATTAGGACATGCGTGTATTTTTTTATATTTCATACCCATTGGACATAAGATCTTCTTGGCATCATAATAATGATTTAGTAGCGCATTGCCTTTCGAAAACATTATTTGAAGTAACTCTAGCAACCATGTGAAACTTTAGTCACTCCACCTAGCTCTTGCCTTTAAGGTAACCCATTTTAACACCCCAGATAACAAACTAAAATTAGTGCACCTCGGGTATAGAGGCTTCTCTGCATCAGTACACAAGTTATCATACACATGTGCTCATTCAAAAGCCTCTTCCCCAATATCAAGGATCATGATTATCAACTTCCACACATTAAGATGTGTTACTATAATTTTTCAATCGTTCACCATGCCAAATCCATATTATATAATTTTTGCAAATCCCATCACAAACTAAGTGCTCTCTTATTTCAGCAACACCTAGTCTCCTTTCATTCAAATAATTAACACAAGGACAATAGAACCTTTCACTATTGTCAACAGCATTTTTCTTAGCAAATTTCAAAAATTCTTTCACCCCATTATCATACTCATCACTCGTTCGTCTAGTATTCATCCAACTACGATCCATATGTCACCTCCTAAAGAATATAACTAATGTTATTACCTTCAAACTATTTCAAGAAACTAAATTCCTAATTAATTTAAGATTTGAAAAAATTTTGGCAGAGTCTTCCCTGAAAATTAGATCTCCCAAGACTTTTAAAAAAAATTTACAAGAGAAAATTGACAATTTTAAACTAAATAAATGATCACATGCAATAACCTGAGGCCTTATGAAGCCACTAACAGCATTCCCAGCAACAATCATATCATTAAAAACTAAATTTAAACAATTTAGATGAAAGAATGAATTCAAAAAAAAATTTTGACAGAGTCTCCTCTAAAAATTAGCTTTCCCAACAGGTTTAGAAATTTTACACGAGAAAATTAACAATTGTAAAACCAAATAAACGATCATATGCAACAATCTGAGGCCTTATAAAGCCACTAACAGCACTCCCAACAACAATCAATACCATTAAAAACTAAATTTAAGCATTATAAAATTTAAAAATTCATATTCAACACATACCTGAGTGGTAGCAGCAACGACTCAGCACTAAGAGAGTGAAGAGGGGAGAAGGAGTGGTGGCAGGGTAGAGGCACTGATGAGGGAGGGTAGGGAGAGGGAGAGGGGGGCAAGCAAGAGGGAGGGAGAGGGGGAGGGGGAGGGGGCGGGTGAGGGAGGGGGAGACAAGGGGGAGGGGGCGCCGAGGGAGGGGGGCGGGCGACAAGGAGAGGGTGACGAGGGGAAGGGGCAGGCTAGGGAGGGGGAGACGACGGGGAGGGGGGCGGTGACGGGGCCGAAAAGGGAGGGGGAATGGGGCGGCGACAGGGAGAGGGAGGAGGAAGAGGGCTGCGAGAGGGAGGAAGCAATTGAAAAAGGAGCAAATGAATAGAGGAATAAGACATTAAGAAGGAGGGAAAATTTAAAAATATTTTCTACATCGGGTGCATAGCCACCCGGTGTAGAAACCATATCCACCCGATGTAAAAAGTTAAAAAGTGTCCAAAACTTCAACATAATTACAAAAATGCCACCACCTATATTTTGACACCGTTTGCCTTCCAACCGATATAAAAAGTACTTCGTAAATTTTATATTTCCGGTGTAGAAACCATACTTTTTACACCGGTGGACTCACCTGGTGTAAAAAGTTAAGTGTCCAAAACTTCAACATAATTACAAAAATACCACCACCTATATTTTTGACACCGTTTGCCTTTCAACCGATGTAAAAAGTACCTTATAAATTTCATATTTTGTACTTGTGTATGTCAATTCCCTAGCAAATCACTTAAGATTTCCTTACTATAATTCATACTTTGAATCAAGCAACTGTGAGCCAACCTTAATTCTGAAGAGATATCTTATCCTTATTGTTACAATAGATAATTGAAGAAGATTCACTCAATAAAATTCTCTCAAGGAGTATGATGAATATAATGAAATTCTAATTCTTAATGATAAAGAGTGAAATATTTCAGCTCAAGGAGATGATTTTCGTATAATAGAAGAAATAATTAAATTTCATAACTCAACATTTTTTTTATTGTTCAAGTTAGTGAAACATTGAGTTTGTAGCGGTGTTGATATAGGCATTAGAAACAAAAATTAGCAATTTATGATTGTTGGGAAACTTTTTTCTGATTCATTAACCCCTTAGAATGGAAGTTGACTCGTTAAAATGGCTTGGAGGAAATTTTGTTAAAATGAATGGTTAATGCGTTGAACTGGAAGATGCCTAAAAACAAAGTCTTGAAATCCTCACGGCGCGTTAAAAGAATGCACTAACAAGTTAAAATAATGTCAGAGAAAATGATAATTCAAGGGTCATTTTAATATCATAATAAGCTTAATTGCAACTCAGTCCTTTCATCCATTCATGCAAATATCTTGTTTTTTTTTTAATCCTTGAATGGTATTCTCCTTTGACAAAAGTTAGATGCTATATAAATTACTAAAATATCCATGTTTTTCTGCATTATAAACTAAAAGTAAGAAGCTTAGATATATATATATATATCTATATATATATTATAAATATATATACATATATATATAGAGAGAGAGAGAGACTTGAAGAGCCACTTGAAGTGCAATTTTATTTAATTATCACAAAGTGCAAGGAACTTGCAAAGCTTAATCCTGCACATCACTTATTCATAGTCGATGACACTTCACATAATAGAGGCTCTACGTGCATCAGATGATTCTGCTTTGATGAACACAACAATAAGAGGATAATCATCAGTGATAACCAAAAGCGAGTTTCCATCATTGCCTCTGGCAATCCCAAGATCTCTGCAAGAATCACCATCAATGGGACAGAACACAATCTTATAAGTGAAGAGAGTATATGGTTGAATCCTGAACCAACCTCGCAGAGTTTTCTTGTACCAACCACTGATTTTCACGGACTTCACCCCATCTTCTTCAACAATAGTCCACTTGGATGGCACAGGAACACAGGATGGTACTTTTCCCTCAACAGAGAAGAAGTCCACATTAGTATTTGGTTTGATGTATCTAATTTTTAATGAGGACGTAACAGTCCAAGGCAAGCCGTAGTCAGGAAAAATGCTAGTTGGGTGTTGCACAATACTAAAAGGGCAAGTTTCATTTCCAGTCTTGGCGAGATCCAAGCCACCAGGTCCTGGCCAGATAGGTCCAGTGATGTAGTATGAGGCACCATTCACAATGGGTTCGCCCTGACTGTCAAGGAGAAACTTGGCTGTGGTTAAAGAAGTGAAGAAGGAAAAGAGAACCAAGAGGGAAAACAAGGAAGGCTTCATTATATTGAATGTTGAGCTTTTGTTTCTTGGGATGTATTTTTGTGTGGAAATGAGAGGATGGAGCGTTCTATTTGTAGAGCTTATTTCTACCAAAAGGAGGGGTAGTTTGGATATTCACCGATGCAAATTGACCCAAATAAAAGTAATATATCACATTTTGGAACAAGCACAGGCACGTGAACTCTATCTAGACTCGTGGCTTAGGATCCAAACTAGGGAAACAAGATGAGGAGGGAAGCGCGGATCCCCTGCGCATCTCTCCCCTCCGCGGCCCTGCGCCGCCTCTCTATTTCTCATTTTTTTTTCCTTCTCTCTTTTCTTTTTTTTTTTCTACATCTCATTTCTATCCCTAGATAAGACAAAGAACATCCATACTAATCTTAAACCCTATTATATTGAATTGTTATTATCAATTGTCATATTTATTTAATGTGTCGCATATTTCAAGACTTGAATTCAATATTATATTGATAACTTAATTTAACTCTCTCAACCAGTTAAATCAAATACATCTCGATAAAATAAATAAATAAATAATTTTGAACTATCAAAAATTAACTTACAATGTTGAAATAAAATAAATAAATAAAAATTTCATTTATAACAAAATTAATAATGATATATAACTGTGAATTATGCAGGTCAAATTTTAACAATCTAAATTTAATTATTTTTTTATGATAAGTACTTTATAAAATAATTAATTAAATTTTTTTAGTAAAAAAGGTTAAATCTGAGCCATTCATTTTATTATTCAAGGGTGTAGATGAGATGAGGGGAAGAAAAGGAGAGAGGGGATTATGAGAAGATCGGGACTGATAAGGAGATACATTTTGGGTGAGTTGAACTTACAGAAGGCTGACTAATATATAATAAAATTGATATTAATACCAATATTTAATAAAATGAAAGTATTCATAATAACCTCTTGCTGATTTTACTTGTCAGGAATGAGGAATGACTGTTTGGAAATAAGTAAGAGAACAAATGATCAAAAAATAGTAGAAGAGCACTACATCTTAACTCAACACTTTAATGTTCAACTTGATAAGTCTTTTTTTTTTAATTATTTATTTGTTGTAAAGTTCAACTTTATCCAATGAATGTAAAATTTCCTATATTGACTCAAGTTTGGTCATGACTAAACAATCTAATAATTTTAGGCGAGTGAGTGGAAATAGTACTTTTAATTAAGAAATAGATTGGAAAGTAGATACTTTTTGTGGCCAAAAAATAGATAACTTTATCTTGTAAAAATATCCGAGAAAGTATAACTTATATGTGGATGGAAAAGGCCAACCGACAATTGTGTGAAAGGAAGAAGAGATTACATAGAAGCATATCAATTGGGAATAAAACATTGGTCTTGTTTCTCAGTGAAATTATCCCTCAATCATTAAGTGGAAACAAATAATACTTATGAGACAAATTATGAACATTGATTGTGAAAGAGAAATATGGAGAAACGGTTCCCTGTTTATTTTGTCACGAGCTTATTCACATAGGGAACTGAAAACTACGTGTTTGTTTGCACCTATACACTTCCTTCCAGCCAACACGTTTAGGGACTAAAACTTTTTGTATTATTTTGTGAACCGGTAAATTCCACCCACAAGTGAGAACTAAAATCGTCTATAATATATTGGGGTATATTCTTTTTTAGAAAAAAAAAATTGAAAATTGGGGCATCACAATATTTTATATAATTTTGGTATATCTTGACACCAATATGTGTAAGTGGAGGAACATAACATTGTAGAGTCAGCTTTCGGATTCTTATGCATGCAGTAGAATGGATTTTTGGTTTAGATGTTCATGTTGTTGAACTCTTTATATTAAGTATATTCGAGCAGAGTAGTCTACCTCATTAAAATAGACTAAGCTATTTAGTTAGATATACCTTTAACTTTATATATCCTTAATTCATCTTTCAATTACCAGATGTGGGACTTTTTATTTCTTTTATCTCTAATATTCTATCTGCTACTTTTCTTTTCTCATTTTATTCTTGCTTGGCTTACACTTTTTCTTAGTCTCAAGCCCTCATGTTTATTCAATTTTTTCTTCTCTTTTTTCTTCTCTCTTTTCTAATCTCTTATTTTTTTCCATCTTTCATTCATTCTTCTCTCTGTCTCTCTCTCTCTCTCTCTGTGTTTTATGTGGCCAATTAAATGGCTCCTAATACCATGCTAAACCTTTTGTATTAAGCATGTTTAAGGAAAATCTACTTCACCAAAATAGTTTAAATGATTTGGTTAGACATACCTTAAACTTTATATATTCTTAATCCATCTTCTGATTTGGTTAGACATACCTTAAACTTTATATATTCTTAATCCATCTTCTAATTACTAGAGGTGGGACTTTTTATCTGTTTTATATACAATACACCCTCCACAATTCAAGAAAAAAGGGTTGATATTATACCTAAGTGCCCATCTTAATTACACTTAAGAACATATACTTTCCCTATATACTGATAAGGTTCCATTTTATAATTAGGCTTTTATATGGCCTAGATCCACCAATAATAGAAAACCCAATAGTTAGATAGAACATAAATAACATCATAATAAACAATATCTCATAACAATTGCCTTATTTCAAACTCTAATAAAATCCATGTATCTTCCTTTATCTTTTTATCTTTTCTAGAAAAAAAAAATAAAAAAACAAAACAATCTCATTATCTTCACGCTCTACTAGTTTCATGCTCTAATTGCCTCTCCATGATGACGGGACTAGGTGTCAATATATCTCAACATTAATTCACCAAACACTTTATTATTGTTACTTAACATATAAAACTATCAAAACCTGCTCGTCTGAAATGGAAGTGGCACTCTCGCGCACTAGGCATGCCGAAAAGAGTGTCTTGTCTTCAGTCAACATGTCGATTTCAAGATCCTTTACCTCTTCTCTCTAGCCTTTCTGCTCCATGTAGTCCATTGGGCCTGTCTTGGATCTATCTCCCTTATTTACCGAGCCCAATATCTGCTCCAGGACCAACACACATTTAGACCCAACATTGTCTCCCACGTGGAAGGATTGCGTGCTCTCGATCCGTTTAGCCACCTCCGAGTGCTCCGTGGTTCACCCTAGCTTGACACGGGTCAAAGATGTGCTCACGTTTTTGGCAGCTCATCGTTCTCTTGCGTCGGGCACTTCATCACCTCAAAAATTTGGGGTATTTTGGTACATAACTCTATAATATTAATACTGAAATAAATTTTCCCTTATAGTACAAAAAATTCCAAACTCAAGGCCTGAAGATGATGATGATGATGATAAGTATATATAAACAGTGACGGTGCTTGGATCGTGAGTTAATGATGCAATATTTTTTAAATTAATAATTTATAAATAATTTAAGAATTTCAAAACAAAGAAAGACATGTCTATACCTTACAATTGTACCTTGCATGATTTTATGTTTTGAAATTGTTGAATAATTATCTCATTTTTAATATTAAAGAAAAAATATTTTTAATATAAATCACTTGACAATTATTTATTAATGAATCTCTCATGTATGATTCTGTAATTAATTTTTTTACAAATTTTTTAGTAGAAAATGTTCTTTTCTCATTTGTTGTGGCAACCGATAATATTATTGCTAACTTTAAAAGGGAAGGGATCACACATTCCAAACCCGACACCAACAAACAAATCACTATATCATATACAATTTTTTATTCTAAAGTGTTGATGACAAAGTGTGCCAAGATTAAGAATATTTACAGCGTTAATTCAGTGAGATACTGTGGTAGCTTCTTTCTTCATCTCCTCCTCTTTCTAATTCTTTATCGCCCTCTCTCTCTTGACTCTTCCATCAGCAGCGTCGGTGTTTTGCGTGTTTAGCTTCAGCGTAGACTTCGTTATTCTTCTTTTCTTTCCGCAGCGAGATACAAAACAGAATGGCAGAAGCAGAACGCACAGCCACTCCCCTCCCCCCAACCCTCAAAAATCAAGTATTATTTAATTTTTTTTCTAAATCCCAAAAAATAATATCAGTTTATGTTATAATAAATTTATCTTTAATAAAAATAAGATTAGTGTTTGGGTTGTTAAATTTTTTCAGGTTTCAGCTAAATATATTTAAGTTTTTTTTTTTTGGAATCTAAACATCTTTAAAGTTGGGTTAAGAGGTACAGAATATTTACACCAAGAGATGCAAAGTAGTGAAATATATGAACTCTCTTTATAATTTTCTCCAAGTTATGAGGCTGCATTTGCCCCTTGACTTGTACATAGTGTATATAAGCCCACTAGGCCACTATTATTTATTTGTTTGTTTGTTTGTTATTATGAGCGTGCATTTTATTGTATTTCATTGTTTAAAAATAAGAAAAAAATGATAATAAAATTCTCTGAAATATATAAATGATAATTTGGTCTATCAAAATGCAATAATTCTCTTGAAGTCTCTACAAGCTTTTCTGTCATTAATGAATTTATATAAATTATCAAATTGCCTTTGTTGAAAATAAATGATTTACAAATTTTGTTTAAATATTCACAACTTTTCTTCTTATATTTGCAATAATACAGTAGCAAATTACAACTTCACATGTTAATTCTTTATTTGCTATTGCATTTTTGCGAATGTATAAAGGAAAGTTGTGAATATTTAAACAATAGTTGTAGATCATTTATTTTCAATAAGGGTAATTTGATAATTTATATAAATTTATTAATAATAGAAAAGTCTCAAAGAATTTTAAGGGAATTATGACACTTTGAAGGACCAAATTATCAATTGCATTGCACTTTAAGTTTCGAAGGTTTTATTCAAAACAAAGAAACTCAACTTTTTGAAGGTATTTTCATCCTTTTACACCTGATTTGGCATAAAAAGAATCTTGCCTTACACGATGGAATCAGGTTAATTGTCTCCAAAACAAGTAATTTGGGTGGACCTCTACAGTACACAGACCAAAGTAAGGATACAAGTGTTTCAACAGGACGAACAATCTGCAAGCATTCATTCACAAAAGAATCATCATATAAATCTGCTCAACTGGGAAATCAAGATCTGTAAATTCAAAAGAAG